TCTCTCCCTTGCTTGACATCACCGGCCATACGCAGAGGACAGAGGGCGGTGGCAGGCAGGGAGCAGGGAGAGAGGCATCCAAGCCAAGGGATATTTTTTCAGGCGGCTTCCAAGCAGGAACTGCTTGACCTGGAGCACGCACATTGCGCCCTGCAGAATTCGCCGCAGCTCCCAATGCCAGGTGCCTGCACAGACCCACGAGTAATCTCCAAGACCTCTCTTGTCAGCCCCCGCTCACCAGCGCTGCCGACACCCAGCCGGGCAGCGATCCCTGGTTTCCCCGCTGCTCAGGGCCAGCCTGTTGTGTGCATCCAGCAGTGAGTCAGGGGCCAGGGTTAGTGGGTTAAGAGCTCTGTAACGTGGTCAGCTCGGGGCGGGGAGCCGGGCTGCAGCCAGGCTTTGGGTGTAGCTCCGCGCTGGCCCGGGCCGTGACCCTTCCACCCTGTCCAGCCTTGGTGCCGCTGCACACTCCTCCCTGGAGCTGTGCAGTCCCCTACCGAGCAAGGGCCAGACCAAAGAATGCAAAGCTTCAGCTTCTGCAGTTTAGGCAAGGAAGTGTTCTTTAAAAAATTGCAGAAAAGCCTTTATAGGATCTTGGCAACACCAGCAAAGCATGTGAGAGGCTGCACGGCTGAGGCTGCGTGCTGGCATCCCCCAGCTTTTAATGTACAGAATCACGCAGCTTTCTCAAAGGACGCTTCGCACTTTGTTTGGCCTTGGCAGCCATCAAGCTAATAGCAACGCTGCTTCCAAAAAAATAAAATTCCAACCAAGCACTGACTTTTGGCAGGGAAGAAAAAACCTAAGATACTGCATCATTTGGAGCATGCACTGTTTAGTACTAACGCAAAATTTATTGCTCTGGCAAAACCTAAACATTAGCAGCTGCTGCCTCCTCCTCACACTCCCCTGCATCTCCAAGGATCTCGTGTCAGCTGTGGCGGTGGTGGGAGCAGCCAGTCCCCCCCCGGGCTCCTCCTCGGGCCGGTCCCGGCGGGGCAGCTGCCACACATCACTGACAGATTGCCTTGGGCTGGCCGCTGCTGCAGAGACACCGGCGACACGAAAGCCTCCCGGGAGGAAAGTGTAACCAGCTGGGGATGAGGTAGGAGTGGAGGGGGAGAGCGCGAGCAGGAAAACCACAAGACTCTTGCGCCTGCTAAAAATGATTCCCACCCAGTAATTTTAGCAGCTGTTGTGTTCTTCTGCCTACCTTCCTGGATGAATTTTAAGTAGGAGGTGAGTGAAAATGAGAATGGTGACAAAATTTCCCGCCCCACCCCCCCCCCTCCAAAACCTCTGTATCTGCACATTTTTAACTTCTCCTTGATCCCAACTTAAAGACACAGTCAGTTATTTTTCCCTAATTAAGTGGGTTTTGTCCTGGCTGGTAAAAAGGAACAAAAATTCACACCAATATTTCCCAAGGCTGGTTAAAAATAGTGACCTGTCAGGGAAGGATGGAGTGACACAATACCTCTGGTCCACCCCTGCACCCCTCAGACCTGCAGGGCCAGGATATGGTTGTGAAAAGAAATATGGCTTTCTAATAAATAAGAAATGAAGGGAGCCATGAAGCCATTGCTCCCTCCCACCAGGTGAAGGAGGACTTCAGCATGTGCTAGAGTGGGTCCCAGCCTCTGCAGGGAGGTGCCCCAAGGAGAAGCTGCACAGGGAGGTCACTGTGCCTGTCCCCTCACCCACAGGTGCAGTGGCTGTGCTCTGGAGGAAGGGGAAGGACACCTGGAGAAGCCCTCTCAGAGCCCTGTGGTTAAGCAGGTGCTCTGCTGAAATGCACACAGAACTCACAGCAAGGGCTGCTGGAAGGGAGCTGACATTTACACACAACCTGAGTTTCAATCCCCAGAAATATACATATGAATAAGGAACACAAGCTAACCCCAAGCAAAGTGCATGGAGTGCTACCAACCCAGAGGAAGACTGCAGCAGCAGTTCTAGAGCCTGAAGTTCAGTTACCTGCTCATTTACACTGCTCTTTCCCAGGACCTTTGGGACTTGAACATTTCACTGAATTCCTGAGATGATGAGGTGTGCTGCTGACCACATTATCTTCTATTCTTCTCAAACTCTATCAATCCAACAGTGATTGAATTTTAGGGGTTTGTTCACTTAATCAGCTAATAAATAACACTTTGGAGTCAACATTATCCTCTGATATGGTTGCACTGAACTCAAGCCAAGACCACAAGCAATTATATTTCCAGCTATGGAGTTCTGCACCACTGACAGAGCAACAGGTACTGACAACCTTCTGCAGCAAGGTCCCTCAAATCTTTCTCATTTAGATGTGGCATTTGCAGACAAACAAGTTTGTCTTCATCCAGATCCCCTTAAACAGCATCAGCTCCTTCTAACTCACAGTTACCTCCCTTCCTCTTCCACCACTTAGAGCTCACAGTGAGGCTCCTCCTGCACCCCACAGCTCTTAAATCACACCCTTGCCAGTTCCTGACACCCTTGACCTCAGCTCTGATGAAAGTGAAAAAAGTCCCTCTTTGCTCTCATTTGCCTCCCAAAGCAGTGAACCACCTGGCTCTCCAGGAGCAGCCTTTCTGTCCTACAGCTCCCAGGGCACTAAGTGGCCTGTGCTGGAGCCAGAGCTCCTTCTCTTGGAGTATCTGGGGAGAAGGAAAAACCTCTGCTGCTATCCATGTGCCTTTGTCTGCCCTTGCCCAGCTGGCTACTACTGGGAAAACCAATTTTGCTCACAAGCAGCAAAGTGTCCTCAGTCCCCTCCCACAAGGATGGAAATTAAGAACTGGGGACTGAGGCAGCGGCTGAGGCAGCCTGAGGCATGGCACAGCACGGCCCTGATGTGGGGCTCCCAGACCTCAGCCAGGGCAAGGGGAAAAAGTTATGTGGGAGAGGCACTTGTGCCTTCCTGATGCTGTGGCTCTTTTCTCTCCCATGTCTAGCAGCTCACCCACAGGGTGCAGGCTGTGGGTGGGTGCAGTGCCCCACGACAGATATAGGGACCACATGGAGGCAGGAGAGCAAGGAAAAGGTGTATCCAGAGCTGTACTGGAAAAATCAGAGCTAGTACTGGTGAGGGAATGTCAAAAGGCTCAGGACAATTGTTGCCAAGGTTCAGTTTTCAGTTCAATAATGCAACAAATTGATGTTTTGGGCTGTGAAGATCCAGGACAAAAGTTCACCTGTGACCAGCTGGTCTATACAATGTTTTTAACAGTCAGACCCAATTAAGAAATCTGCAGTTCAAGATTTGAAAGTTTTTCACTTGAAGGTCAATGGCTTTTTAGCCTGGTTACTTCTAAATTGGATAGAATGTGCTTGTCCAACTACAATTTCTCAGCTAGCAGCAGGACATGCAAATTGGCCTTGAAATGTCATGAAAAATGATTTGTACTCTCAGTAATTCACTTCTTTGAGGTTCTGATTGTTGATATATTGCTACCAGCAGAGTATACAGCATTACAAAAGAGAACAACACTTTGTACCTCAAATGTCTTGACTTCAAAGCATTTAAACTTTATAAACAAAGAGACATAGCCTCAGTCTAGCACCAAAGAAAGCAATTTATGTAAGCAGAAAGCCTGGAACAAATAATTAAAACATGAGACTAAACAAAAACATTTGTGAGTTTGTTGAAACAACTTTGAAATATAAACTCATTTTTTCTGTGTATATTTACTTGCACTTTACCTAAGGGTGTGCTTTCTTACTCGTGTTGCATCTGGAAGCACATCAGTGGTAGCCACGTGAAGCTCTCGGCAGGCTCTTTTCCTGGAGTGCCCCAGCCTCATTCCAGAGGCAGTCTGGATGTGTCAACCTCTCTGCCAGTGTACAAAATTTATTTTAAACATCCAGGTGAAAAAATGGCAGTAGCACACCTGCCATCCCTCAGCTTTTCTCAGAGCCACAGCTCCACAGTTAAGTGGAGCTCTTCTGTGACCTATTAGAGTTTAGGATTTCTAAACATCAGTTCCACAAAAAACTGTTCTGGACGATATACTCAGCTTCAACATCTTCCATCACACTTCAGTAAGCCACTGCTTACAGAGCACAGCAGCGTACAATGCACAGCTGCGGCTGGGAAAGGCACTGCTTTACTAATTTGTCTTCTCATCCCGCAGGAGCTGAAGCAGCCGCTCAGGGATGGTGGGCACAAGAGACACAGCGGCAGCGCTGGGGGCTTCAGTAAGGCGGGGAGGCAGCTGGGCGCACCCCGAGCGGCACAAGGAGCCTGCGGGCGGCCGGCCGCTGACCCCGGGCTCGAACCCGCGACCCCGGCACGGCCCGCCACTGCCGCGGGCGCCTGGCGCCACCTGCCGGGCAGCGGGACCCGGACACCGAGCGCTGTCACCGGGCCCGACAGGGACAGACAGACAGACAGGAGACCGAGTACTGTCACCGGGCCCGACAGGGACAGACAGACAGACAGGAGACCAAGTACTATCACCGGGCCCGACAGGGACAGACAGACAGGACACCGAGTACTGTCACCGGGCCCGACAGACAGGACACCGAGAGCTGTGACCCAGCAGGACACGGTCAGACGGAACACCAAGTGCTGTGACCCAGCAGGATACAGACAGACAGACAGAACACCGAGTGCTGTGACCCAGAAGGATACAGACAGACAGACAGAACACCGAGTGCTGTGACCCAGAAGGATACAGACAGACAGACAGAACAGCGAGTGCTGTGAGCCGGCAGGACACGGACAGACAGACAGGGACAGACGGAACAGCGAGTGCTGTGAGCCGGCAGGACACGGACAGACAGACAGGGACAGACGGAACAGCGAGTGCTGTGAGCCGGCAGGACACGGACAGACAGACAGGGACAGACGGAACAGCGAGTGCTGTGAGCCGGCAGGACAGCTATTTTAGCCCAGCAGCAAGAGGCACAGCAATGCACCATCACCCCCTCTCTTGCTGGCTGTACCCGAATGACACCATGGCTTAGTATCAGGTTCAAGACAGGAACAGACATTTTTTTCTGGTAGTATAAGTGTATTTAATAATTTTCATATACAAATTAAGAGAATGCAAAAAAATAGTTATTGTATCCAAGTGAAACAAGCCAAACCATCACAATTTAATATTTAAAAAATATTACAGAGATTAAGCAGCTACAGTGGAAAGAATAAAAAGCTTTTTAATTCCATTTTTGTGAAATTACTTCTAAATACTACCTTGCACTCATGAGTGTAGCCCTCAGTGCAAAAATATTCAGTACAAAATAGTTTTAAGCCCATGTATTATCATCCTGCAATGAAAATAAACTCACATTTGAAGAAAACCATCACATTTTTCTCTAATGACATTATTGCACAAAACAATTATATGATTTTTCCCACAATCATTGATACTTTACAGCCTTAGTGATTCCAAAGGCAATGGTGTGAGGTTCCAATGTTTGCTGCTGCTCAAGCATGCCATACAGAACATACATCTTGCTTTTTACAAATGAAATGTCTTTAGCTGATCACCTGAATTCTTTCCTTCTTATGCATAAACCCCAACAATAATGATTTTGCTGCACTGATTAGGCCTTGTGATTGATTCTGTGATGACCAATTCTGACTGATGATAATGATGCATAAGAAGAAATCATAATCCAAGTAATACCCAAGTTGTGCTGACTTCACAGGATCAACATGACAAAAAGGCAATCAAACCTATTTCTCACTCAAGCAGGTTCACTATACTGGTTATATTCTCCAAGTACAAAAATAGGCCATATATTGAGAACTGAGCTGCATTCCTCACAGAACCAGATCCCAGAGCAGAAGCACACTTCAAGTTCACAGTTCCATAACAAAAAAAGTCCTGAGATCCTTTGGCTGGATTGAGGTGAGGTCTTATTGCCAGACAGAGCTTCAGTATTAGCCTAACTCAACCTAAAGCAATTTACTTAACCCAAAAGTCAAATTGCTCCACTGAAGCAAGTAAGGTAGAGTTGATTTTTCATAACTAGTCTGAGACTATAAGAAAGACTAAACCAGAATTAATTTTTAAGAAACCCACAGCTGCTCATTAAAGCTATAGGACAGAATTTAACTGAGACACAAAGAAAATGCCAGTGTTGTTGCAGACAGCCTTGAGAGCACTGGTCAGTAGCACTGCTTCAAAATGATGAGATGGACAACAGAAGAAGCATTTCTTAGCACCAAAGGAAACACAGCATTTCTCCATTTACACCTAACCCCCAAGTGCAGAATGCGTGCTGTCAACTCCAGCACCCATTCTAACACCTGAAACATCCAAATACTAAGGACAGTATCAATACTGCAGTCAGGTACACCCTGGGTGACTTTAGCACTTCTTGCAAAACACAAGGGGACTCTACCAAACCAGTGTGACTACCATGGTGGTGCAGTTACAACATGCTTCAGTTATTATTTTATGGTTTTAATCAATATTATTCAATAGAAGTATAAAAGTTGGACCAAGTTAAATAAAAGACATGTTTCCATAGGTGCTACTCCTGAGACAAGAAATGTTTGGGTGTTTTGATGATTCATTTTTCACAGCATCCAAGTTGTCATGAAGGGTGGGACAAAAGGTTAAGATATCTGGCCGCAGTCAGTAACGACAATCTTTTTAGAGGGCTTTCCACTCTTGGAACCAAAGCTCTCGATTTTTTTCACCACATCCATTCCTTCCTTTACATGCCCAAAAACAACGTGCTTTCCATCTAGCCTGTAAAACAAATACACAAAGGCAGTTTTACTTAAAACAGCATAAAGACAGTGTTAGCAGATCTTCATAGCTCTCACCTACTGACCAAAGGCAGCCTTTGTTTGCTATGGCAAAGGCTCAACTGCCTTTCAAGTGACAAGAAGGTTTATAACATGACTTTAGCTCTGAACCTTAGAAACATTCTGAGGGATAGCAGCCTTGTTGCTGTCATAGCCCTTCCTCCCTCAAGTAACAAAACAAATTTAATTTCCACTGAAATAAAGTAATTTGGAAATAACAAAAGAAAGAACCAACCAAGCAAGCAAACAAAAAAATATCAACCCACAAGCAACACACAAAAAAACAACTCTAAGAAAACCCCAAACCCTCAGATTCAGGCATCAATTACTGAGGTTAATCTGCAAGGCTGAGAACCTACCAGTCAGTTTTTGCAGTGCAAATGAAGAACTGGGATCCGTTTGTGTTGGGTCCTGCATTGGCCATTGAAAGAACACCTGGAACAGCAGCAGCAGCTCGTTAGACTGGTGTAACAAGTATGCAGTGGAAAAGACACTTTTCCTCTGCACATTTAGACTATGAGAGATTGAGAGATGTGATGGTCTTACAGTATCTCCAAATCATTTCTAATGCCAACTTCTTGCCTTGGACTATTCCCTCCTGCCCAGCCTCCCTTGGTTCCAGAGCAAGTGTTAGCAATGTAATTAGCTGTACACGCCCTGAAGGCAATGAACACGATCTAACCTCTCCTGTGGTTCAACAGCAGCAGTCTCCTGGGACAAGGAAGTAACAGCATAAAAAAAAAAGAAACTATAGAATTCAATCAGATATTCTTCTGTATGGCCTTTCCTTTGCTTTTTCTGGCTTTAATTTGTGCTTAAAAGGACATACCTATGTTACCTACTAAATAAGAAACCTCAGATTGCTTTGCTTTACTTCTGCAGTAATCTTCCAAGTAAAAACTGAAGTCTGTGACTTATGAAAGCAGTAATTTCACCTTTGGAGAATTTTTAAGCTCCTTGTGAGCTGACATATAGTTGTAGAGCAGTCCACTCAAATAAGCATATGCCCTGGACAACACAATGTTAAATTTCTCTGATATTTCTGTAATTACCAAGTGACCTGCAAATTTAAAAAACCCTATTTTTTAAAAAAACATCTTCATGAACAATGCTTCATTATAGGTTGTAGTCATCAGAAGGTAAAAAGAACATGTTCATTTACCAGGTCCTATGTGCTTAAGTATGAAGTTTTCATCTGGAAATCTACTGCCATAGATGGATTTTCCACCAGTTCCATTATGATTTGTAAAGTCACCACCCTGAAACAGAAATGGATATTAACTCTACTAGCACACATGGATTATTTTGTATCAAAAGCAACGCTACTGCAATACACACACTCTAATTTAAAAGTGACAACATCAACAAATTTTCTTCAGGTTAAGGATAAGCATGGCCACTCAATTTAGAACCATGTAACTAGATGAAGGCAGTCAGGGCTAAAAGTGAATTTCTGCTCCATGTATTGCTGATATTGCCCAACTGTCATCCATAACTCAAAAAACCATCTCTCTGTGTTACCAGCCTTTCTCCCAAAAGTGATGCAATAAACAGCAGTAATTTTAAGAAACACCTCAAAGGCCTCAAAACCAAATCACCTAAGTTCATTACCATAGGCAAGACCTCCCAGCTCCTTTCTCCCCCCTCCCTTCTTCCAACAGGTATAAACACTGGTCAGGAGCTCCATTATTGCCCTCTGCTATTTCTAGGTTTTGTTTGTTACACCAGAGCTATGTTAAGCTTATGTTAGCTGACTCCATGCTGCTTGCCAGAAGAGATGTGACCACCTGTCTCAGGTTAAACACAAAAAACCAGCTCAAACAAAAACCACAGCCACGGTGACTCGTGAAGGTGGCTCCTAACCACTTCTCCCCGCCACAAGCCATGTCCTCTGCAGCAGTGCCAGAGAGAACTCATACCCAACAGGTATTGCATGTGACCTTCAGCTTCTCCTTGTCACCCTGACTAACTTCCTACAGGTGGTGTCACAGCTACTGCTGTGCAGTCCCAGAACTATGCGCTGCATGCCATGTGGAGACATGGAATTGCCGAGTCCCGGATATGATGGCCTTCAATTAGGCCATTCCAACAGCCTGAATCACATTAACAAACCATCTCAACAAATGCAGAAGTCACTGTTTTCTCTCACTTGACAATTGCTGAAACCTATGACAGTATTTCCACTTCAGCAATGACCTCTGAGTAATTCCTAAACATCGATTCATTCTCTCACCGTACCAGAATCAGCCATCTAGCATCCTGATTTCCAGTCCATCTGGGGGGAAAAAGCAGGGCAGGCAGGCAGAACAGACTTACACGGAACTTCACAAATTCATGACAAAATTCAAAGTAGGGTTGGTATTTTTTTTTTTATATTTATGTATTTCTGATCCCAGAAAGACTTCTAAACTCAATCCCTCTGTCAGTATCACAAAATCTTAGTTTGCATTTGAAAGGCAGGAAAACACACCTGTCCCCTTTTTTCTTCTCAGAAATAGGTCATGCAACTAGGGCCTCTTGTTCCAACAGATGTGTTTTTTTGCTTAAAAAAATAATTGAGGATGGGAGACCATCATTCATCAGTTAATAAACAAAGCATTTTTACTTATAACCTTCAAACTTTAAAATTTTCTCACTTTTTTTACAAAGCCATTCAACAATGCAATGTTGTTGAAATGCTGCCTTTTTTAAGGTAAAGAGGACCACCATGAATCCAGTGCACTACAGCAGCTCCACCCTGCTCATCTGCCAAGCACAGCAGAAAAAGCAGCTTTCAAAAAGGTTTGTTGTTATTTTAGTTGCTCCTGTTTAAGAAAAAAATGTTAATATGCATGGGCTCTTATCCAGAATTTCCAAAGATCTGTTCTTTAAACCAAAACAAAATCCATCTCGGATGCATCATCCCAAAAATCAACCCCAACCAACCCTTCTGGTTTCCTTGTCCCCTCGGCATTACAAAGACATTAAAAAAGAACACTGAAACACATTGTCTATTGTGAACAGATTGTTCTACTGGCAATAAGGAATGGACACATTGTTTGCTTAGCTCAGAACAGTACAGTGATTGTCATTCTACCCATAAATGCTTCTCCCAAGCAAGTGCCATTTTGTCAACTCTGCCCCACACCAAAGTACACTGCTCTGCTACAGCAGAAAGCCTTCAGACAGGCTTTTTGTGACCATCTACATGCAACTTACATTTATTAGTACAAAAGATGAGCTAAACACCAGCCATTGCAAAAAGATCAGCAATGCAAATCATGCTGTCTCTTCTTTGTTTTATTAGGAAAGGTTAGCAGCCTTTTCAAATGTTACTACTAGTCTATTTCTACAAATATCTAAATAATACAAAAATAAATTTAATAACAAAATTTAAAAAAACCCCAACATTACCTGGCACATAAATGAAGGAATCACCCTGTGAAAAGTGGATCCCTTATACCCAAATCCTTTCTCACCAGTACAAAGAGCTCTGAAGTTTTCTGTGGAAACAAAGCATAAAGTACTATATTCTGCAACATATATGGCAATACAAACACAACTAGATTAACCATGTCCCAAGATTATACACTTCAAAAACACTATTGTATCTTTAAAGTATTACCAATCTATTAGTTATTTCCATACTTTAAAAAACCCTGGTTATAAAGCCAAGAAAACAAAGTTTATTTAGCCTCAGGACAGGATACAAATATAAGCCTTTTCCATCTCACCTCCTTCTAATTCTGCTGTGACTCCAATTCCCTGACTTCCCCTACCTTTGCCTGTAGTCACAGGTTTCATTTTCTGATGTTTTTGCCTTTGTTCTTTATAGCAATTGTAAGGAATATGTTTTTTTTTTAAGGATATTTGTCTACTAGGAACTAAAAAGTGAAAGCTTTTTTCAGAATCACTAAATGATCAGATGAGGAAGGAAACAAATGATCAACCACAAGAACTTTCTAAAATGAATGCACTGATCAGCTAGTGACCAGTAAAATAAAACCCTATATACTCTTTGGAAACTCTAAGAAAGACCACCCCTTTGATTTGCCCTTTTCCATTTGCTCTGGAAATGCCATTTTAATGCCAGATAGTATTGCTTTAAACTTATCTATTCATCCCTGTTAAGCCAATATGACCTGTACTATTCTTGGTGCAAACTGCAAAATGAAACTATTTGGAAAAACAACAAATTCCATCTCCTCACTAACATTTCCTATCATATTTCTCCATATAATAAATGGGGATGGAACATGAAAAAATAGTTGTAAAGGGTAAAAAAATCTTCTCATTCCTGCAAATCACAGGCTATAACTTTAGTATTTAAGTATGAAATTCTGAAGATGCTGCCTCACCTGCTGTCTTTGGGACCACGTCAGCTTTCAACTGTTAAAGAAAAACAAATAGACAAATTTATAAGTTAGCCTTTTCAAATGTACATAGAAAAACATTTACATGGGAGACTGGTACAAATGAACCCTCTTCCCAAAGTGGTGAGTTATCTGAAATGACAAGCCATCCAAAAATCCATGAATACCTCAAAACTTTTCCAAGCATTTGGCCACCAATGAAAAATATCCCCTCAACGCAACTTTTAGCCAGTAAATGAAAAGCCACTTGAGCAGCATCTAATGATCTCATTGATCAATACATAATTGAGCAGTAACTAGGAAGAATCTTCACTATGGACCCCCAAGGATCAGAGTGTGGATACAACTACAGAAACCAAACCCCCACACAGAACCAGCTGTTGAAAGTGACAGAAAAGGCAAAGGAAACAGAGGAGCAGAAACTATATATCAAAAAACAAATTATGACGTTACGTACACATTCATAACCAAGGAAAACTTCTGATTTTGATTAATGTAGATCTTTTTACTTATCTTAAAAAGGGACATAAAAGTGGCCATACCAGCCAGACCAAAGTTTTACCTAGCTGGATATCCTGACAGTGACTAGCAGCAGACAACTAGAAATAGCATTGCTGCAGGAAGAATTTAATGTTCCTTCCCTAGGCTACTCTTCTCAGATGGTTCAGATGGCTATAATATGCAGCTGAAGATTACCACAGCTTAGCCAGAGATTCAAGTGATACTGCAATGCATTCATGTTGTCTGTAAACTGGGAACACCAAAAAACTTTAGCATAGAAATTAAATGCTACCACAAGAAATACAAGAACGTTAATGCTAATTTTTTCATAATGCCATCCAGATTTTTCATTAATGAATAAGGAATTTAAAGAGTAGTATTTTTACTATTTATCCCTGAAATGCTACCTCATGAGAGCACAAGAGCTGGAAGAGTCCAGTTGATTCATATGCTAACACCTTCAATAAATAAAAATATACTAGGCTCTAGTCTCAAAGGAACCTCTTCTAGAGAGAACTCTTATTAACTACGTTAAAAAAACCCCAAAATTTCTACAAATACAGCCCCCAAGGTGGGTGCTGGAGGCAGAAGGCTACACTGACTTTCCTCAGCAGGCAGAATTCCCTAAGAGCTTCATTCCCTCTCCAGTGTGTGGTTCTGGAGCACAGCCCTCACTCTTTCCCATACACAACGCATCTACCTGAGGCACATGCCGGCCCTGAGGTGGCATGTACACATCGTGCTACACGGTGCTCGCGGCGCTTTTTTAGTTTGTAAGAACGTAGATTACAGAAGTTTTCCTCTTCAGGCCTTCTTTACATGGCCGAGTATTTCGGAGACGGGATTTTTAAGGATGGAGCCAGCTGGTACCTGGCTCTTGAGCGTGCTGCCGTCCCAGCAAGTGGAGGCTCGAGGAGGAGGCAGCGCCTCAGGAACCTGACACCCTTAGGATTCAAAAGAATCACACAACGAGCGCCCAGCAAAACATAGGATGAAGCTGAAGGTGCGGCTGAAGGGCTCCACGGGCCGGCTGCCCCCAGAGCAGCAGCCCCCAGCGGGAAAGCGAAGAGTATTTCTGCTTACACACTATGGAAGTGACCTTCCTTCGAGGCCCCCAGCCACAGCAGGGCTCTGCCCTCCCGCGGCTCAGCGAGAGCAGTGCCCTCTCAGCCCCGGTCCGAGCCCTGCCAGCCCCTCCTGGAGGGGCCACACCAGCCGGGAGAAGAGCCCAGAGAGCAGCCAGGCGGTGGCTCCGGCAGGCGAGCGAGCCCCGCCATCCCGCGGACAGCTCTCCCGCCCGCACCGGGGTGTGTGTGCCCTCACCGCGGGCCCTGGAGCCGGCGCTGCCCCGCCGCCCTGACCTTGCCCGCCCCCCGCCGCCATGCCCGGATCCACGCCGCTCTCGGCAGCACCATCCCCGGGCGAGCTGCCCGCAGGCCCCGCGCCCCTACCTCCAGCACGACGCGTCCCAGCGGCTGGTTGTCGGCGCTCACGTCCAAGTACACCACCGGGTTGGGCGAACCGGCGCCGGCCCCGCTGCAGCCGCGGGCACCGGCCGCCCACATGCAGGCGAGCCCCAGCGGCGGCAGCAGGTCCCCGGGCGGGCGAAGCAGGCGGCGGGCGGCGCTCAGCGCCAGCATCCCGCGGGTGTGCAGAGCGGGCGCTACAACAAGCGCGGACACACAGACAGACACAAGGACACGCCGCCGCTGCCCCGCGGCCTTTATGGGCTCCGCCGCGGCGCCGCAGCGCCCACTGCCGGCGGCAGCAGCAGCGCAGGACGAGATGGCGGCCGGAGCAGCACGGGCTGAGGCGCCCCGGGGCTGAAGGCGGGGCCCGGGCGGGGCCGAGCGGGCTGAAGTGGGGCTGAAGGCGGGGAGCCGGCAGCCGGCAGCCAGTGTCAGGGGAAAGCCGTGCTCCCCCGGCAGCGGGACGTGCGTGCTCCGGGTGCCCTCAGCGCTGCCCCTCCCCGCCCGCCATTGCACAGGGGTTGTTAGGGGCTATTTTGTGGGGACTCGTTTGTCCACTCGCGTGTAGGTTTTTTTTCACATTTCCTCACAGCTCCCTTACCCCAGGGACCGACGGGGAAGTTTCTGAGATTTCATCATTCCACACAACGCCTCCGGAGAGCGCCTTGGCGGGGAAGGCGACGCAGCTGTCACAGGTGCGGGATAATTGGGATCAGCGGGATAATTGGGATCAGCGGAGTCACGGGCTGCCCGTCACTCCCCGACTGCGCCCCGGGAGTTTCGGCACTGACGCGTCTCGAGACGGGCGGTGTGCCTGAGTCAGCCCGCCCCGCAGCCCCCGGCCGTGCCCTCAGCAGCGCTCCAGGGCCCTGCCTGCGCTTGGGCCGCAAACTGCCCGAGGGACTGCTAGAGAGAGCTACAGCACTCCAGGTTTAATAAGGTGAAACATCATTCGTGTTTTATGTGAAAGTAACAACAGAGATAATTTTAAGTTTCCCTAATGTAGCAGCTTAGGTGAAAGTACTTAGTACGTATATCAGTCAGATGTTACCTCGAATTCTCCAGTTTCCATCCTGATTCCACATATAAGTACTTCCAAAAGCTCTTTAAATTCTTAATGCCATAAGGTGTCTTAAAAAAATAAAAATAAAATCAAGCGTGTTTCTAATAACTTTCACATTTCTTGTATTATAGAGTTACTCTAATGAAGGTTACAGTAATACAACCATGTGATACAGTATAACAGAATCATACAAAGACAGCTCCTCTGTGAGGAACAGTAAACTGTCGATCCCACCTAAGTTCTTTGTGTCAAGCAGCTAAAAGAACCTTCATCGGTGACATTCACTGAATCAACAGAAAGCTGACAATCAGGGCAGTGCCATGACCACAAAAATCAGGGCAGAGCGATAATGTGCAATTACAGACATCCCTGAGATCCTGGACGAACACCATTTTTCAGGCACACACTCCAGAGAGACCCTGAACTGCTGATGCTGTAGGGACAACTGTAACAGGTACCATGCTGTGTGACTACAGAACCATACAAAGCTACGTCAAAAGGTCCATCTTGTCCTGAAGGTCCAAAGCAATGCCTAAGGAGGAGTGAAAATGGGGTAGGGGTGTATTATAGGCTAGTATGCTTTCAACCTGCTACTGCTTTCACTCCAGAGAACTTCCTGACTTCCTAAGCTGGATGAGACTTTGGTATGTAGCCTTTTTTTTCTTTTCTTTTTTTTTTTTTT